GTTCAGGCAATTCTCCTGCCTCAGCCTCCTGAGTAGCTGGGATTACAGGCACGCGCCACCATGCCCAGCTAATTTTTTGTATTTTTAGTAGAGACGGGGTTTCACCGTGTTGACCAAAAGAGACTTTTTAAAAAAAGCACCTAGTCTCAAGTTTCCTCTGCCAAGAATTGACTCCTTTAAACATTGGGTTGAATTTAATGATCCCCTCAGAAGATGTTTCAGTTTCCATCTTTCTCTGATTATACAAGTAATGATTCTTCACCTTCCCATTTCTAATCTCTCTATTCATTCTCCCGCTCTTAAACCCAAAGAACACCAAGATCCTCCAAAACAAACTTATTTCCATATGCCTGAGTTTCTGGATCCAGTTGATGCAAATTGTTGGTCATTCCAATGCCTATGTGCTATACTAAGAATTCTCTGCCTTGGACAGCTCCACTGTCAAGAATAGTTTAATACAAAGATGCTCCTTGACTTGTGATGATGGGGTTACATCCAGATAAACCCATCGTAAAGTTGAAAAATCATAAGTCAAACCACTGTAAGTCAGAGACCGTCTGTAATTCGTGTTACAGGTGGACTGCCATCAGTGGGAGGAAACACGTTGTCTCTGATGTGCCCAATCTAATATTTTGTAGCTCATGATGGGACAGGCCCACCACACCCATGTCCAGGCCTAGCCTCCTCCCCGCAGGTTGAGCAAGCCCATTTAAGTCATGTCTTCTGATCGGGACTATTTAAAAGGGGCCTCCCTAAAGCTCTTGGCCTTTCCACAGTTCAGATCCCTGAAAAAAATTTTTCAGAATCCATGAAGGCATGTGTGACTAGTGCCAGTTAGACTTGAACATTAGACTTTTCACTTATTAGTCAAAGATCTATATTTGGTGTACAGTTTTAAGTGGTATGCAGCTTTAAATGTCCATGTTATCAACTGACATGAGAATCCAAAACCCTAGATTAATATATGGAGACCATGTAAATATCAACTTCAGATATTAAAGTAAAAATAATGCGGGTTCTGACTTCTGCATGTAAATACACATCTATTCCCTCCCCATTGTACTAATCCATCTACAGGACCCCACCACCACCATCACCACCCTCCTTCACCCACCCCATGCACTGTCAGCATACAGACATTTACAATATGCCTAGCTGAGTTTAACTGGTGGCTGTAGAATATGGCAAAGGCAACTGGCCCCACCAACAACTGATTTTCACCTTGGTGGGTGCAGCGTGAATGAAACGGAATGGACAAATAGAGGATATATCATCTTTTTGAGAGCAAGTCTACAGGACACTAGGTCTGTGTCACTTCAATCATCTGTTGAAACCAAATTCTCATGAAAGAGTACCGAAGGAAGGAAAAGAAAAATAAACATCTGCTTACCAAGCACATTTACCAGAAAACAGTGTTTCAATATTGATGAAGGTTTAGATTAGAATTTAGGATAATTCTACTCTCTCAAATCCCTTTGCACTTTCCCCCATCCCTAAAGCCTTTCATAATAATAATAGTTTTTCATTATATTAAAAGTCAAAACAGCACCAGTTGCTTTTGGTATAAATGCTGAAAAGCATCTCCTATTACTTGAAGGACTATGAAGGATTTAGACTTCCACATGTAAAATGATCGTGGCCTCTTTTCTAGGCTTTGTAAACTGACTTTTGGGGGTATAACTTTCATAGGTCAATTGGCCCACCAGAGTAATTAATTAAAGAGAATAGTTCCTAGACTTCTGAGTTTTGGTGGAGTTTTATCCAGTGCATTTGAATGACAAGGATAAACCACTGCATTGTACCTTCCATGTGCTCCTTATTCCCCACCTCCATGCCAGCCCTGCTTCTAGCCTTGGAAGTAGGTGTCCCTAGTACCCTGACACCATGTATTCCTTCAGCTTTTGATTACATTACTCTCTCTTCATAACTCTGTAGTGGTCCCACATTTACTTTCTAAGTCATAGAAACCTTCTGGCCCTCTGTTAGGAGAGCCTGCTCGAGGTGAGCTTTTCGGCATTTCATATCTCTGTTTTCCATTTTACCTCCACTCTGCTCTTTCACGTGAAAACCATCCTTCATCTGAGCTTAGAAGGCCTATTCATTCACCTTGTCTTCTAAAACTCCTTAAGTTCACTAACGCCTGTTAGGTATGGGTATGGATTAAATAGTACTCAAAATGAATACAAGATACTGTGAAACATAATATTTTTATTAGCTTTATTTCAGGCAAGCACATTTAACCAAATTGCAAATTATATCACTATTAAAATTAGACAGAAAATCCCATCAGATAAGACTGCTGAGGTTTGGTACAGTAGTTTGTCTTGACGGCCTCATGTATACAGTCACTATAGTCAGTATTGCACTTGCCACACTCACAGCTTAAAGCAACAGGATAAGAAAAATAGGGAGCAACATGAAGTGGGCATCCTGGTATTTCTACAGTCCGGTAGATGAAGTCTCTGTATGTGCAAACATCCTGGGACAGTGCGTATTTGGGAAGAAACAGTTTGCCATTGATATCCTGAGGAAAGACCAAAAAAGAGACCATAATGTGACAGGACTTTAGGAAACATGTGGATAATGGAAACATAAAACTAAATTCACTTATATTCCTTCATCACAAGTACAACTGGAAAGAATTCCTTAGCCCCATTCTCCAATACTAGCTTAACCACGTTGAATCCTACTGAGACAAAAGAGTCACCCTCCTCTCTTTTATCCTTGATCATGGGAACAAGATAAGGTTTAAGTAAATCTGGGACATAAAACTGTTACAAAATTATCTGTATCCATTGTGCTGAGTAGATCCACATAATATTGTAACCTGTGTACTCTGCTTCTAAGGAGCCAATAACCATTAGGTTTGGGAAATGAGGTTGTGATTTATTTCATTTCCTTTCTACATAAGAATGGACTTCTTCAAGGCTTACATAATTTGCAGCCAAAAGAAGTGACATGTACTACATACCCGTGTCATGCAATATCCCGCACAGATGGTGGTGTTGATGGTTAGGCAATACGCACACTCTGTCCTTTCTACGTGCATTGTATACTCAGTTGGAATACAAAAAGACATCGCTTGCCCACACGCAAGGCCAAGAAGCATGGACATCAGAAAGACAGCAGCCATGCTAAATCAAAGATAAAATCAAACAACCTACTGGTTAAAATCAGAAAGAGCAAAGAAACCAAGATAAAGTATAACCAAACTTCAATACCATCCCAATGCATATAATCATGCTTATAATTCTACCCATTTCGTCAAGGAAATCACCAGAAAGATAAGGTCCAAACAAAGTTAACTAAAATGACCACTAGTGTTAAGGGGCTAACTCAGAAATCTAGGAACCCCCTGATTTTACTTCTGAACCCTTAGGATATCCCTTTAAGGTTGAAATATGTATAGCTGGAACAAATAAAAGATTATTTTACACAAAAGAGGCATGTAATTTGTTCTCAAAAAGATTAACAGGCAAAAAAAAAAGAAATATTGACACTCTAAGAATACAATCAAGGATGACAGCTCCATTATGGGTTAGCCAGAAATGTTAAATAATTTTTAGATGCGTGAAAGAAAACAGAGGATTCATAGTGCCTCAGTGAGAAACAGAACATGAATCTCAATAGAGCTTGCGTGATGGAGAACTTGTTCAATATCAATTGGATATCATTATCAATACATATTGATTGAATATAGTTATCCAGAGGGATAATGATATCAATATCAACATCATTATCCCTGGATAATGTTATGACAAATTATTTTAATTCTACTACTGAGGAAGGGTAATCAAATTTCATACTTTTGGATGTAAGTTGATCACCTCAAAGATTAAGAAGACTTTTTCATATTACAAATATTGTACAGCTAGCTAGATGTGTTTGGATTTTTTTTTCCTTCTCAAGTATCATTGTTAGCAAAGAAAATACATAGCTTAAAGGAGTAGCATTGTTGTCTATGAAGATAAACTTGTTTGCTTGTTCTATTAAATAAATTATAATTTACCAAACATTTTGTTCAATCATCAGAAGTACCAGGATTTCCCCAAATCTGTTCGTTATATCCTAACAGCATCTTTAAGCTGTAGACACTAAAACCTCTGTTAATTGAAGCCTCATACGTTCAGCCTCGGTTAACCAGGATTTTTTTTTTCAGTCAACTTATAAGAAACCATGAAAACCACATGACACAGGTTACCAGGGATTTATTTTAAATGTCAAATTCCAGAGATTAGTGGTCATTTCAACCAACCTTCTATTCCTAGAATAAGAATTGCAAATAAATTAGATAAACATATATTGAGCATCTGAACCGGGCGCTGACAGACACAAACAGGTAAGATATGGTCCTTTACCTAAAGGAATGACTGTCCAGTGAAGGAGCTAATATGAACACAAAAAATAAAAACACAGATTGTCCTAGTGCTCTGAAAGAATCCAAATTATGACTTTAAGACCCATAATTATCAAAGATTTATGTTTACTTACTTCTTATTACACAAGAAAGTCAACTAGCCCATTTTAGGATGACTTAACTTTTCAAGGTTAAAATAAGAGGGGTTTTTCTCACAAATTCTTTTAAATGAAATGTTGCATATTCAAACGTTCCTTCGAGGGTTTTTTGTTTTTGTTTGTTTTTAATTTTGTTTTGTTTTGTTTTGTTTTCTGTTTTTTGGTATTTCAGTTAAGGAGCAAAAACATACAAATTCCTTACTCGTGGAGTCCAGCTTTCTCAAGTGCTTCTCAAATGTGAGCTCCCTCTATGGTACAGAGTTGGTTCCAGTATTTTAGAGACACAGACCTTGAGGATCCTCTGGGGGATCCGAAAATTACTAACTAGCAAATTATATAAAATAATTACCCATCATGATCATTATAGTTCTTGCTTGTTTAGACAGCCAGCTACTGAGCTTTTTCTATAGGAAACAATTAACTTCACATATTTTAACTTTTAGCTCTATAATTCTATATAAAGTAGATATGGTGACCTGGTGATGAAACAATTGGTCTAAAAATTAAGAAACAGAGTTCTTCCATGAATCTGTGAGAATGTGATTAAAATATGTAATCTATTTTGGTCTTATTTCCTCATCTGCAAAATAGAAAGTGACAAGTACACCTGACGCTTTTCATTTTTTATTTTTTTTAATTGCATCTTAGGTTTTGGGGTACATGTAAAGAACATGCAAGATAGTTGCATAGGTACACACATGGCAGCGTGATTTGCTGCCTTCCTCCCCTTCACCTATATCTGGCATTTCTCCCCATGCTATTTCTCCCCAACTCCCCATCTCCCGCTGTCCTTCCCCTATTTCCCTCCAACAGCCCCCAGTGTGTGATGCTCCCCTCCCTGTGTCCACGTGTTCTCATTGTTCAACACCCGCCTATGAGTGAGAACATGCAGTGTTTGATTTTCTGTTCTTGTGACCTGACGCTTTTTAAAATGTAGGATGAAAATTTGTTTTAGTTTTCCTGTTATTGTCATACTCACTACGGATACTCTATATTTTTTGGAGTTTCTCCTATAAATGTAGAACTCTAAGCTAACAAAAGTGTAAAATGAAAGTGCTAAGTTACCAGCCACAGTAGCTGTATAACTTTGTGGGTGTAAAGAAAGCAAGAACTGTTCTTTCTCCTTTACTTCTTTATTGCAAATAGTAAAACTTCACCCACAGACTCTTTCTGGACCTCAACTTTCTTATCTATACAAGGAAGGCTTAGAACCCAAAGATGATCGTGAAAGTTTTTGCAGCACAAATAGTCTGTAATTCTGTACGATAAATTAGTGTCAGATCTCTGGCGCTAAGATTGATAAGAGTTAGTGATCTAAATTGTACTTGCGGTTGTGTGCAACTGAGCAATTTAATATCTTTGTGCCTCGATTTTTTTCATATGTCCCTTGCTAAAGTCATAAAAAGAACAATACATGTGAAACACCTGGCACTCTATATAAGATCGTATAACTATATAACACTGTACAAATTAGCATTAGTTAATCCCTTCCTCTCTGATCTACCACAATTTCTTCTTTATTGTCATCTGGGTTCTCATCTTTGCAACTTAATTACCTATTCTGACATCATAATAAATAATTTATTGGCTACCTAAACATAGAAGGCATGGTTTCTTTCAGGCAGGGCCTAAATAATGATGCATGACCTTCTTCAGATGCATGACCATGTATGTCCCTACTTTCAACATATTTTCTTATTCCAAGAAATGTTATTTCTTTAGCTCTTTTCCCCTCTTTTTTTTCTCTTATTTTTGCTCCCAGTGCTTCATTCTTAATAAACACTTTCCTCTCTGCTCTGCTAATTTCCTTCATTAGTTTTTACCCTCCAAACCCCTTACTATGAAAAGAGCTAATTGCCCATCTACGAACAGTCCTGGAACTTCACTAAAGCAGTATGTTTTTCTAGAAAGCAAAATGTACTATACAGCAGGTGTGTCTGTTGAACACTATCAAAGGAGGTTTAGCTATCCAATAACTAAAAAGAGCTTGTCATACAGAGCACATTACCCCTGCAGGTAATTACTCAAAAATGAATTTGCTCTAACATTTCCCAGAAGTATATTTTCATAAAAGATGACCATTAATATAGTAATTGAAAGGATTTAATACACATATCATTAAATTGATAACAATATTTAAATCAAAATGAAAACAGAAGAAAGCTATGCATATCAAATATCCTTCCTTAGGGAACTAACCAGTTGTTTCTCTTTAAGTCAATAACTTTTTTTCTTATCCTTGTGTATGGAGCTCACTCACCTTCACCTACTACTAAACAATTTGGAGCAATAATTTAAAATGTTAGAGCCTATTGAAGCAAATTATCTTTCAGCATTTGCCACTTTCTAATAAATGATAAAATTGTGAAAATGAAAAAAAAAACACACTAAAGAACACTTCATTTCACAGAGCCTTTCCACTATAGACACCTACCTTACTTTGCATTGGTGAGCAGATGCTGTGATGACCCAAACTAAAAGCTCTTGGTTCATTTTATACCCTTCAGGATAATCCCCTCTGATCTTCTTGTTTATATAATTGTATTTGATTTACTGCTTTCTTATCTGAAAAACGTCTCTTGAAAATTCATACTTAACTCCAAATAAAATTTATTTAGACAAACAAGCTCACAGTATCTTTCCCTGTAAACTCTGACATTATTGAAGCACACATTTTCCTTTCTCCTGTTTCAAAATAAAATTACCCTTTTAAATATATTCCTTATTAATATTTATTTATATTAATAAAAGATAAATACAGAATGGGAAATACCAAATTCAAAAAACACTCATCATCTAAGTAAGTCTTGGGAATAAAAATTTATCTGGGGCTTAAACGCTCCACGTTTTACCTAAGTGTTCATGTAAAGATATATACAATTACTCCTCATCTAAAAATCAAAGGAAACTTTTATATATAAATCCAGAGCAAATGGCATCTGTGGCCATTTAGAACAAAATGTTTAGTTCAAAATATTTTATTGTTTTTTATTTTGATTTTTTAAGATATTAAGTAAAATTTATACATGTGAAAGAATGACTATCTGAGGAACATGGCCACACCTGACAGGATGTCAAGCTGACCTGGATAAAATTTTGGCCCTGCCATTTACTTGCTGTATGACATTGGCATGCTTGACTTCTCTTTACTGCAGTTTCTATTAAAAGGTAGTATCACTTCTCTAATGATTCGTAGTGTTGAGCACGTTTTCATATGCTCGTTGGCCACATATATCTCTTCTTTCGAAAAGTGTCTTGTTCATGTCCTTTGCCCACTTTTTAACAGTGTTCTTTGGTTTTTGCTTATACATTTGTTTAAGTTCCTTACAGATTCTGGATATTAGACCTTTGCCCAATGCACAGTCTGCAAATATTTTCTCCCATTCTACAGATTGTGTGTTTATTCTGTTTATGGTTTATTTTAATGTTACATCAGGTAACAAAAGTACATGATCCTAGAGAGATGGGCAAGAAACAGGGAGAAACTGCCTGGAGAAGGTTTCTGGGTCATAACGCAGATGCTCTTTAGGTAAGAGTCCTGTTTGTCAATTTTTGTTTCTGCTGCAATTGCTTTTGTCATCTTTGTCATGAAAATCTTTGCCTGATCCTATATCCAGAATGATAGTTCCGAGGTTATCCTCCAGGAATTTCTGTACTTTTAGATTTTACATTTAAGCCTTTAATCCATCTTGAATTGATTTTTCTATATGGTGTAGGGAAGGGATCCAGTTTCAATCTTCTGCGTATGGCTAGCCAGTTATCTCAGCACCATTTATTGAACAGGAAATCCTTTCCCATTGCTTGTTTCTGTCAGTTTAATTGAGCAAAGAACGACTGTCAAGTCAGGCAGCCCTTAGAATCAGCAGATTCACGGAGCTCTGCTCCTCAGTGTGGGAAGGCAACATTTATGGACAGAAAGTAGAAATGAAATACAGAAACAGATTGATTCCTTTGTAGCTCAGCGCTTGCCTTACTTGGACAAGGTCTGATCAGTGGGCTGCCTGTAATTGATTGAAGCTCAGCTGCTGTGATGAGCTGAAACTCAGCAGTTTGTTACAAAAGTATACTGCCAAGTTAGGCTGTCAGTTAGTTTACCTACTAAGTTAGGTTGCAGTTCATTATGTAGGCACAACCCAGAGGTATCCTCAGGCCATATTTAGTTTAACAGATACATACCTAGAAATGGTCATTCCAGGGGCTCCAAAGTCTTTGGAATGTGAACTACTGTGTAATCAGATAATTTTGAAATCAGGGAAACTGGAAATGAGGGTGCCAACCTAATTTCAGACAAGATGCTAATACAAGAGTATGATACATGGAAGAATGTTAGATGTGTGTTTCTAATGGAATTAGTGCCTCCTTTGTATAAAGCATTGATTCAGGAACTCATTTTATAGTGAATTTATATACATATCCCTGGGAGATATATTTGTGTGTGTGTGTGTGTGTGTGTGTGTGTGTGTGTGTGTGTGTACATATGTAATGGGCAACTGATAGACACTTGGCCTGTTACTAGAAGAATTATAGTAAACATCATGCATTTGGGTAATGATTTTCTTGCTAAAAAAGCCTTAATGTATATGATCTCATACTGTTAAAAAAAAATTCAGGCATGTTTAAATTGTGCTTCTGATCCAGATTTACTTTCTCACCTAAAATAATTATAAAACAGTACAAAATATATAAAATAGTGTCTCTATACACATTGGACCTCAGGTAACAAAAGTACGTGATCCAAGAGACATGGGAAACAAACAGGGAGAAATTGCCTGGAGAAGTTTCTAGCCCATAGTGCAAGAAAGTTTACCAAGGTAGAGGCCAGAAGCATCACCAAATTAAGGAGATAGACCTGGGAGTCCATGTATCTCAAGGCCGCTAGAGTTCACAAGAAAGACATTATCAAAAAAGAAAACCACAAACAAATAGCCCTCATGAAATGCACATAGATGCAAAACTCTTCACAAAATTTTACAAAACAAAATAAACAGTATATAAAAAGGATAATATATCATGGTCGAAGTGGAATTTATTTCAAGAATGCAAGGGTACTTTGCATTCAATCAAGAAAATTCACCATACTAGCAGACTGAAAATAAAAGCCTTGTGATGATCTCAATGGAAACACACACACACATATATACAACCACACAAAAGCATTTAACAAAATCCAACATACATTCCTGAAAAAATTCTCAGCAAACTTGGAATAGAAAACTTCCTAATTTAATAAAAGGCATCAACAAAAAAATTATGATTAATATACTTAGTATTGAAAGACAATAAATTTCCTTTAAGATCAGGAAAAGGCAACAGTGTTTGCTTTCTCATCTTCTATTCAACACTACTTAGGTGCAATGTTAATACAATAAGGCAAGGGAAAAAAGCCATTCAGATGGGAAAAGAAGGAGTAAAATTTTATTCACAAACAACATGATCATCTATGTGGAAAATCTTATTGAATCTATAGAAATCTACGAGAACTAATAAACTAATAAATGAGTTTAGCAAAGTTGCAAGATACAAGATTAACATACAAAAATTAATTGTATTTCTACATATAGATATCAAAAATTTTAATCAGATATTGAAATAAAAAAATAATACTATTAGGTTGGTGCAAACGTAATTGCATTTTTGCCATTGAAATTAATGGCAAAAACTTTCGATGGCATTGAAACATTCAATGGCGTTACTTTCAATGGTAAAAATGCAATTACTTTTGCACCATTGCTATTTACAATAGCATTAACAAATATGAAATACCTAAGGATATACCTGGCAAAAGATGTGTAAGAACCATGTACTAAAAACTACGAAATATTGCTGAGAAAAATTAAAGAATACTTAAATAAATGGAGAGATGTATCATGCTCAAAAATCAAAATACTCAATAATGTTCAGATTTCAATTCTCCCCATTTATCTATAGACTCAACATAGCCCCAATCAAAATTCCCGCAGGCTTTTTTGTAATGACTGACAAGCTGATTCCAAAAGTTATATTCATATGCAAAAGACATAGAATAGCCAAAATAAACTTGAGAAAATAAGTGTAAGTTAGATGAAGTCGTACTAGCTGATTTCAAGATTGTAAAATTATGGCAATTAAGAAAGTGGTGTTAAGGCAGATCGTTGGAGCAGAATATGGTCCAGTAATAAACCTGTACACATGTGGTCAAATGATTTTCAAGAAAAGTGAAAATGAAATTAAGTAAAGAATGAATGGTATTTTCAACAAATGGTGCTGGAACAATTTGTTATCCATATGTAAAAATAAATAATTTTTTAAATTAAATAAATAACTTCAATCTATATCTTGCATTATATACAAATGTTAACATGAAATGTAAAAACTAAAATTCGAAAACTTCCACAAGAAAAGCACGGAATAAACCTTTTGTTAGGCAAAACTTGAATCAGGCAAAACTTTATTAGCTGTAACACCAACAGCATGATCCATTTTTAAAAATGATAAATTGGACTCCATCAGAATTAAGAACTTCTGTCTTCAAAAGGCATTGTTAAAATAACAAAGACATCTTAGCAAAATGAAAGAAAACTAACTTGCAAATTATACATAAGACAAAGAACTTGTATACAAAATATATGAAGAACTTGCTATACTTAATTATAAGAAAAGAATTATCCCATTTTTTAAATAAACAAAGTTTTGAATAGACATTTCACCAAAGTATATAGACAGGAAGTAAACAGATGAAAAATTTTCATCATTAGTCTCAGAGATAACCAAATTAAGACCTCAATAACATAGCACTACACACTTCTTAGGCTGCCTAAAATTTAAAAATTGGAAACACCAAGGGTTAGCAAGGAACTGGAGCAACTGAAATTCACATACAATGCTGATGGAAATATAAAATGATACAAGTTCATCAGTATGGAAGTCCCGCCAAAAGTTAAACATACACCTATCATATGATCCAGCCATTCCACTCCTAAGTATTTAAGAGAAATAATAGGATATGTCCATACATGAACTTAAACAAACATTCATAGCACCTTTATTTTTAATAGCCCCAGACTGTAAACAACCTGAATGTCCATCCACAGGTGATAAACAAATACATCATATATATGCAATAAAATATTTGTCAGCAATAAATAGAAATAAACCACTGATACAGCAGTGACATGAATATCAATAATTATGTTATAGTCTTAATATTATTAAGATAGGAGTACATGGCCTAAAATTCTGTTTATGGCCGGGCGCGGTGGCTCAAGCCTGTAATCCCAGCACTTTGGGAGGCCGAGGCGGGTGGATCACGAGGTCAAGAGGTCGAGACCATCCTGGTCAACATGGCGAAACCCCGTCTCTACCAAAAATACAAAAAATTAGCTGGGCATGGTGGCGCGTGCCTGTAATCCCAGCTACTCAGGAGGCTGAGGCAGGAGAATTGCCTGAACCCGGGAGGCGGATGTTGCAGTGAGCCGAGATCGTGCCATTGCACTCCAGCCTGGGTAACATGAGTGAAACTCTATCTCAAAAAAAAAAAATTAAAAAAAATAAAATAAAATAAAATTCTGTTTATATAAAATGCCAGAAAATACAAATTAATGTAAGACAGAAAGCAGATTAATGATTGCTTGGGGATGAAGAAAGGCAAGGAAGGGAAGGAAAGAGGGATTTCCAAGCGGCGGAGGAATTATTTAGGGGGTGAAAAATATGTTCATTATCTTGAATATGATGATGGTTTTATAGGATATGCATATGTTAAAATCTGTCAAAATATATGCAAGGTTAGGGGTTGAATTATGTATCCCCAAAATTCAAATGTTGACGTTCTAACCTGTAGTATGTCAGAATGTGACCTTATTTGGAAATAAGTTCATTACAAATGAAATTAATTAATATAATACTGGAGTAAAGTAAACCACTAGCCAATATGATCAGATACAACTCCTTACAAAAAAGAGGAAATTTGGACACAGACACATGAACAAGGAGAATGCCAGGTGAAGACTGAAATTGTGTTGCCTCAAACCAAGGACTACCAGAAGCTGCAACCGAGGCCAGCAGCTTCAGAGGGAGCATGGCCCTGCAGACAACTTGATCTTGGACTTCTGGCCTCTAGAGCTGTAGGAAAATCAAATCTCTGTTGTTTCAAACCACTCGGTTTATGGTTCTTTGTTATGGCACTATTAGGAAACTAGTATATGCAATTTATTGCAAGTCAATTATATCTCAACAAAGCTGATAAAAAGTATGATAGGTGGAAATGATCTGTGTTTACTTTTCAAACTTCATGTCACACCCACCTCCCTCCACCTTTTATTCATTATGTCTCTTTGAACATTCCAAACTTGTTCTTGGAACAGTGCTTTTGTATTTGCTATTTGTTCATTATGGAGCAACCTTTCAACAAGTCTTTGAATGGCTTTCTCCTTATCATCTCAGTTTAAAAATTACCTTCTTAGAAAACCCTTCCTTGACCACCAAGTCGAATGCAGCCTACTGCCACTGCCACTTCTTATCCTGTTATCTCATAGTTTCTTCATTGCACTTAGCATTTTCTGTATTATATTATTTGTTTATGTACTTATTCTGTCTCTCCCTTTCCAACTAGACTGTAAGCAATTTAAATGGAAGCTTTATCTATCTTGCTCATCACCATATCCTCAGAATCCAAACCAGCCTATGCCATATATTAGGTACTCAGTAAATGTTGATTACATAAATAAACGGAAACATAGATCCTATTCTGACATTTTGGATCCATGGAGAGGTTATTGAATGCTCTGATGTTCTATAGATAGTTACAGGCAAAGTCAGGCTACAATCCAAGTTTCTTGACATTGTTTTTGTTGCATTAAAATTTTAACTCGTTTTCAAAGGAAAAAAAACACTCAAATCCTAATTAGCTAAACAGAGAAGTGGCATTAAAATATGAATCAGATTTACTGACATTATCCCCTACCCCAAAGATTGGGCACATCTCTAGCTCCTACTATTCTCTATAACCATAAAATTCTGAAACCCTGGGCAATATAGACACTTTTAAAAAAATCAGTTTAACCATCTTATGTCTGAGTTATCAGTAAGAGTCACATTAAAATGATTTGTAATATGAAACAAAACCTGTTTGATTACTTAATTCTTTTCAATGGTTTTTTTCTTAAACAATACAGATAATTGGTAGCAAATAGAGTTCACCCTAATGTGCATATTGATCATTTTATTATTTTAAAGATCTCAAGTGAGAAGACAAAAATTGATTTAATATGTATAAAAATTATGTCAATTTGCTTCTCTCTTTTAGTAACAGATCAAAGCCCCTTATATACCAGAATTACATGAATATATGCAAGTTCCTTTCTATTTCAAAACATTTTTGAAATTAAGGTCATCTATAAATGTTAATAGAAATTGCTAACATCTTCTGTAATCAAATTTGTAATGTTATAAAGTCACAGTAGTATCCAATTTTCCTTGCCTGTATGTCAAAACTAGTTCCTCTATCCCTTAGTATAACATCTTTCGTTCTACTTATGTTACATTATATAACCTCTTGGTAATTAGATATTACAGTATTTCTCTGAATAATGTCAGCAGTATTAATTGTACTCACAATAACAGGTGTAACCACTTCTGAGCAACTAATGAATAATTTGCTGTTAATCTCACCCCAAATTTTTTTTTCCCATTTATTTTATTGCATTTTAGGTTTTGGGGTACATGTGAAGAACATGCAAGATTGTTGCATAGGTACACACATGGCAGTGTGATTTGCTGCCTTCCTCCCCATCACCTACATCT